ATCCAAAGTCTGGAACTTGGTATGTCTCAATGGATGTCACCTTTGATGAGTTTTCTTCTTTTTATGATCCTTCTCAAGAGAGGCATTGTCCAAAGGGGGAAAATTTGTCATAATTGTTACCTCTCCCCTTTCCTGTCCCAATTGAGTCTTCTTTTGAGCCTCTTCCTACTTCAAATGAGTCAAGGGAGGAACAATCATCTCATTCTCATTCCAATATTCCTATTCCTCCTCTGTTACCTCATTGTCCTCTTTTTAATCCTAGGCTGTACCAGCGGCTGAGAACTAGAAGTGGGTAGATTGTTTCCTCTACAACACATGAGCCTCCTACACTTCCGGTCACAGAAGAGGCAACATGTACTGATACAGTCCCTTTGGAGCCATCCTTCCTAGACCTTGATGTCCCTATTGCTATCAGGAAAGGTAAAAGGAAGTGCACTACATATTGCATTTCCAAACACCTTTCTTATAGTTTGCTATGTCCCTCATATTTTGACTATCTTTCTTCTGTTGCTTCTAACCCAATACTCAGGTCAGTGTCAGAAGCTCTTACTATTCCAGAGTGGAGGGATGCTATGAGAACAAAAATTGATGCCCTGCATAATAATGACACTTGGGAAGTGGTTGATTTGCTTGAAAGGAAGGAACTAGTATGCTGTAAGTGGGTTTCCACCATCAAATATCATGCTGATGGCACCATTGAAAGGCACGAAGCTATTCTGGTTGCAAAAGGTTATACATAGACATATGGGATTGACTATCTGAAGACCTTTGCTCCTGTTGCAAATATGATCTCTGTGAGGGTTCTGCTATCTCTGGCTACACATTCAGATTTGCCACTTTACCAATTGGATGTGAAAAATGCATTTCTGAATGGAGACTTATATGATATGTCTCATCCTCCGGGGATGTATGACACAGATATGGAAGGGAAAGTCTGCAAACTGAAGAAATCTCTTTATGGACTTGAACAATCACCTAGGGCGTGGTTTGAAAGGTTAAGGTCTACCCTTGTTAACTTTGGCTATATACAGACTCAGTTTGATCATACCCTCTTTGTGAAGAGGAGAGGCTCTTTGGCAGTATATCTTATTGTGTATGTTGATGATATAGTTGTGACTGGCAATGATGTAACAGGGATTAATGATTTTAAATCATTTCTTCATACAGAGTTTGAGATCAAAGATGTGGGGGAATTGAGATATTTTCTTGGCATAGAAGTTGCTCGACTTAAGGATGGGATCCTTATCTCTCAACGGAAGTATGTGCTTGACTTGTTCACTGAAACAAGGAAGATGGGTGCTAGACCAATTGGTACTCCTATTGGTATGAGTCATAAACTTTTTGCCTCAGATGGAGTATTGTTGAAAGATAAGGGAGTCTTCCAAAGGTTACTTGGGAAGCTGCTCTATTTGTGCATGACTCGGCCAAACATTGCATATGTTGCCAGCTGCATTAGTCAGTTCATGCATGCTCCCAAGGACACTCACATGGCAGCAATAGAATGAATTCTGTGTTATTTGAAGGGTTCTCCTAGAAAGGGAATTCTATTTGCTAAGCATGTTCGTATGAAACTTGAAGCTTACACAGATGCTGATTGGGTCGGAAACATTGATGATAGAAGATCAACTTCTGGGTATTGTAGCTTGGTAGCAGGTAATATTGTTTCTTGGAGAAGCAAGAAACAATCAGTTGTTGCCAGATCTTCAGCCGAAGCTGAATACAGAGCCATGGCTCATGGAGTTTCTGAGCTACTATGGCTTCGATCCTTGATGGAGGATCTGGGTATTGAGTATGATAAGCCATTAATGTTATATTGTGATAACCAGGCTGCCATTAACATTGCTCACAATTCGGTGCAACATGACAGAACCAAACATATTGAAGTTGACAGACATTTTATTGGAGAAAGAGTGGCTTCTTGAGAATTTTGTCTACCTTTTGTCTCTTCTGAAGGACGACTAGCTGATTTCTTTGCCAAGGGCATCCTTAAGGCTAAACTTCAGCATGATACTGGCAAGCTTGTTATGATTGACATTTATGCTCAACTTGAGGGGGAGTGTAGAGAAGATGGGCCGAATGACCCATAGACTGTTTTCTTTATGTTCTTTGCTGTAATGAGCCTCAACTTGGGCCTTTCTTATGTTATGTCTTTTTAATTATTCGCCCAGTTAAGGGCCTCTTTGTAAATTACTGAAATTAAGTTAATGAAAAGGGATTAGGGGTGTAAGAGGAGATTAGATTCGGAAATCTCTCTCTGAACCCTTATTGCCACCACCATCTTCTTCCTCTTCTCTCTTCTTGATTCTTGGTTTCTGCTGTTCTCTATCACTTTTCTGCATCTTTTTAAACAGTCTGTTTATTTCAGAAGGTTGTTTTTCTTCTCACCATTTATTTGGCATTTTTGGTTTTCATTATCTCAGTGAATAGTTCAGTTAATTGCACCAAGCCTTCCCCTATTCATTTCTAGACAACTATTGGAATACCATTGGGTGCTGATGCCTTCCCATTCTTCATCCTTTTTTTTTTCGATAAATGAATGGAAATTTTATTAAGAGTAATAAAGTATACAATCACCCTAAGAGGAGGCACATGATGTTACCTCCCCTTAGAAATGAAACCATAACCAAACTCTTAACAGAATACAATTATAAGGTAGCCCAAAACAGAGAAACCCGAGAAGCCCCTTGTTTAGCCAAAGAATCAGCCCAAGGCATTTGCCAATCTGCTAACCCACTGAAATCTGACTGACATATTCCTTGTAAGCCAATTAATTTTCTTAAGAAGATCCCTGTAGCCCCAGGAAACTGTTTCTGGATCTGACAACCAACTCACTACCACTTTAGAGTTGGTTGCCAATCTATATTCCTTGTACCACAGCCAGTATCTCAGCCCTTGTAGAATCACCAACTCCCACTGGACTTGAAAATAAGGATAGAATGCTGCCATCCTTATCTCTCAAAATCCCTCCTACATCCGAAGGTCCTGGATTACCTTGACTACTCCCATCAAAGTTCAGATTTTCAACACCCTCCGGAGGGGGTTGTTTGGGTGTAGGTACAATAATCCCTCTCCAGCTCACACCCTCCATATGTTCTTCATTTAGTGATTTTCTAAAACAAATTTTGCATCTTTCCATAATTTCTCACCCTTTATCAAGACTCTTTGATCTTTTCTTTGATGCGAGCCCAGATCTTCTAAAAGCAAAAACTCTGCACACATGGCATCTAGTCGCACATTGGGAATATTTCCCATACTTGTATATTAAATTCATGGGGAGATGTTCCCAATGTATGGCTGGATGCCTGTACTTTCAAATTGTGTGCAGAGTTTTTGCTTACAGGGTATTCCGTCTCCTTTGATGCATCTAACATGATTTAAGTCTATCCTCTTTCATTCTCTCTTTCTGCCCAAGGTTCAAAATATCAACACAGGCCAATACACCGGTAGGGGTGTATCAGCCTGTATCTTGGCTCGCCTTTTATTTTTTTTAGTTTTTCTTTCAAACTGGTTCAGAGGGGTTGGTTTGAGGCCTGAAACACCCCCTGTAGGGGCATATTGGGAAGCCACTGATACAATACGTATCGAAATTTTGAACCTTGATTCTACCAAGTTTATGAATCCTATTTTCTCCTTTACTGTCTGGGTTATGGTAAAATTTATCACATGCCTTCAAACTTCACTGACTTTCTTTTTGGCTCCTACTCAATGTTTTTTTTTTTTTTTATATTTTTTCCAAGTTTTCTACATTTTAGTCTTTTCTAATCTTTATAAGATGTTTGTTTTTGCCTTGGTTACATTTTAAATTTCTTCATTCCACCATCAAGTGTCTTTAGCGGATTATATTTTCCTTCAGATTCTCCTAACACTTATTTTGCTATTTTTGCACAGTTGGTCATATTAAGTAACACATTTTTTGGGAAACTATTTTATGCCACATATTGTTAGTTATTTCATCTAAGTTCTATTTTAGCTTGTCTTTATATTGTAACAATTTTTTAAGTTCTACCACAATTCTTGGGCACCTATTGTCTTTGCAGGGGGGGGGGGGACTATATAGATGACTACCCAAAGATTCAATGACATATTCCTGGGCTCTCTTTTCTTGTGATGTTCTTTTCATGTATTTGCTCATCAAGTTAGATTTATTTCTTATAGGAGATTTTCTCTCCTTGTCATGTATAGCCATGCCATTTCCATTGTTCTATGCAATTTTGCTTATTCTTAGAGAAGTGATTAACAGTCTGCTATCCCCTTCAAAAATGAAGCTCAAAATCCAGGGGTAGAGTTGGGGTAGCAGGGCCCTACCACTTTTCCCCCCTTTTTCTTCTCTAATGTTCTTCTTTCTTAATCTCTACTAGTATGCAATCTATGATACCTAGAAACCTGTACAAAGAGGTGCCATATCATGTCAGATACTTCAATTTTTAGTTTAAATCTGCGATACTGTATCTAGCTGTTTACTGCGCCCTTGTTCTGGGTAAGCTCCTTTTTTGAGGTCGTCCTGCATAAAACTGTCATTGTATCAACATTTGGGATATAGAACCAGGTTGGAGGATTGTATTAGAACCACAGATGGAGTACTGTTGACTTTTGGTTCCAAGGTGCTTCATATTTTGAAAGTATAGTGTTGGTGCCACTACTAAAAAGGGCAGCAGATATATGCGGCCTTACCCCTGCACATGCAGAGAGGCTGTTTCCAAGAGTGTTGGTACTACTACTATTATTACTATTTGTTAGGTTGTTAAAGTATGTAACTCCATTAAAAGAAAATTCATCACATGAATTTATTATGGTTGGATATTGATACTAGAAGGGTTCTTTCACTTTAATGCATCAAATAGTTACCCCCCCCAACAAACAAAAAAAAAAAAAAACAAGAAAAGAAACTTGATCAGTAAAGCTATTTTTAAAAGCAAAACATAGCAAATGCTGTCTTAACCTCAGCAAATCGTGGTTGTGGGAATTAAAGCATTGATTCTCTTGAATTTGTTCTTTTTAAGGCGGTGACTCGAGTGAAGCCATATATCTGCACTATGCCCTTGAGGCTGGATGAGGGGTGGAATCAAATTCAGTTGAATCTATCTGATCTTATAAAGAGAGCATATGGCACAAACTATGTGGAAACTCTTCGGGTTCAGGTTCATGCAAATTGCCGCTTGAGAAGGATATATTTCTCTGATCGCCTTTATTCTGAGGAAGAGCTCCCACCAGAATTTAAGTTGTATCTTCCAATGCAGGTAACCTCCCTAACCCACACGGACACAGCCACACACACAATGATGGTAATTGCATATACCTACTGTGTTTCATTTCATCTCATGTTCAAAATCCTTGTTTAATTCCAGAAGGCATAGATGCTTGGAAGGGAAGACAAATGAGAGGATGATAACTTCTAAGGTTCTGAGAAGTGGGAACTACTACGTGCACAGATAGTGTATCATTTGTTATGTACTTCCTCTCAAACTGAAAAAAAAAAGAAAAAATCTTTTAGTGGGATTTGGATTTACTAACCTGCAGACAATTTTTTACCCCTTTTCTTTCAATCTTGATCTTGTTGGCAGAGATTATCTCCTTGCTATTCTAATGTTTAAGTTTTAAGTTATATATTTCTTGATGATGTAGAATTAGGATTGTTTTGTTGGGTTCATGATTCCACAATTTTTATCGTGCTGATACATAAGCCTTACTTGGTCGGTATCTAGTATCTACCGACACTGGTTGTGAGAACTGCTATTTAATGGGTCTCTCTGGCCCTAACTTCAACCAATGAGATGGTTTGTGATCGTCTCGTATTCAAAAATAGTAACTGTCCTATTGATTGACAAGGGACTGTAGGCATAACTGCATTCTTATTTATAGATAGAGCAACTTTCAACTCCGATTGAAATTCTCCTTTGTATTTGGTTCCAAACAAGCTTCAGTTCAAACTATCGATGCTCCCCGATATAATATAGTCGAACCCTTATATATGTTTATTTTATATTATATGATATAATGTATACAGCGGATGCTTCTTGCCTTGGGTTTTTACATTTCATAAAACTTAAATCCAAATACAATATCATCTATGGTTAATAGTTTCTTGTACATGTCATAAGATCCGGTTTGATATCTGTCCACTTGAATCATTTCTATTTTCAACCCCATACTTGCTTTCAGGCTGAGCTGACATAAATGAAATTGGATTCAGTCCTCACAAAATGGTGTTCACAGCTAATTGCAGTTGTACATTGAGAATATCTTCCCATGAATAAAAACTTATAAATATGAAGATGTTCCTGATGCATGTCTGCAAATTGGGTTTTTACGTTTCATAAAACTTAAATCCAAATACAATATCATCTATGGTTAATAGTTTCTTGTACATGTCATAAGAAATTGGATTCAGTCCTCACAAAATGGTGTTCACAGCTAATTGCAATTGTACATTGAGAATATCTTCTCATGAATAAAAACTTATAAATATGAAGATGTTCCTGATGCATGTCTGCAAAAGGCTGTGAACACGGTGTGAGCACTGAATTCGGTCTTGACACTAATCCAATAGAGTCGAGTGAAGACCCACTGACACCCTTCTCTTTAGGAATACAATTATTCAAACATGTCAGAAGTGTAAGCCACCAAGGATAAGGATAGACTTAAGAGTCTTGGAAGCAGGAAGGAAAATGCCATCAAAGGGAATGAGGTTTAGCTTTGGGTGAAATGAAGATTAGATCTCCTTTATAGGAGTAAGAGAGCAAGGCTACGTGCATGATACGTGCATGAAGCCAAAGTTTCAAAACATTCCTCAATTCGTTCCCTCATTTACTCTTAATCTCGTCATGCATATTAATGAAGTTTTTACTTTCTTACACTTAAATATATATTCACCATCTTACAGGAAGATGAAAGGAATGTTAGGCCCCTGTCACTCACTCTTTAGATTTTCATTTTAAAACTTCAAAGAATGAAATAAATACTAAAAATAATTAGCAGAGCCCTAACATCAAATAGAGCTTTCTTTCCTCTTGATGTTTCTCCCACCAATAACCCACCACTGTTGCTGTAGAAGAAGAACAAACTACCTACAACATTCTCCAAAATTTATACTACTTTAAAAAGCACGAATGGCCTCAAGAATATTTCTGGAATTTTTTAGGACAAAATTTACCCCTTTATATTTAAATTTATTGAAAAAAATGAGGACAAATAGGGTAATTGATTATTGATATTAAATGAGTTGAAAAGAGGTAATTTTATGATATTCAATGCATTCAAATCCCTCTCATTAAATCCAACATTTAAGTTATTAACTTGCATTCATGTTCATTGAATCATATATTTAAGTCATTTTTCTTTCTTCTTAAGTTCTTATCATTAAGTTCTATTAACTAAATTCATACTTAATAAATTAATAATTCCAATAATATAAAAACTTATATTTTTAAAATATACCTAGAAAAAAATAGTGTTTTCATTTAGGTGGTGGTGAGAAATTAAACCATTTTGGGTCAAATGGGTCAATCCATGTTGCCACGATTAAATAATAAAATTCAAAATAGATAAAATGAAAAAAATAGAAATTAAAAAAAATTGGAACATTTTTAACATGCATATTAAACAATAATAAGTATGATAAATAACAAATATTTTTATTAATGATGGAAATGGAATGCAAAAATTAAAACCAATTGGAATAAAAATATTTTCCTATTCTCTCTCATTAAATCCTATATTTAACATATATTTTTCTCACCATTAAATTCTTGTAATTAAATCCACAATATTAATTTTACTACTATAAAAATAAATATTTTGAAAAGTAAATTGAAAACAAAACCATTTTCTTCCCTCCCAATGGCGGGCAAGCAATTTGATAAATAATACCATAATTAAATAATAAAAAAATAAATAAGTATAAAATATAAGAAGTATTTTTATTAATGATGAAAATGAAATGCCAAATTTAAAATCTGCCAAAAAATGAAATGATGTCATAGTCAAATAATAAAATTTTAAAAATAGAAAATTCAATGAATAAAATAAAAAAAAAGATAGAGAAATTTGGGCACATATCTAATGTTATATATTTGTAAAAAAAAATATTGAGTACATCTCTAATGTTATGCATTCATTATATTGAACAAAAAGTAAGTATTATAGATAAGAAATAATTTTATCAATGATGGAAATGTAACACAAAATTTAATGTCAACCTAGAAATCAAACTATTTTTTTTTTGTGGTGGGTTAGTGGTTTGGGTCAAATGATATCATAGACAAACAAAAATTAACTGTGATAAGTAAAAAATATTTATATAAAATAAATGAAACATATAATTTAAAGGGAAATTATAGTTAAAGCCAATTGTACATTTAAAATTATGTTGCAAGTTGGTCTAGAAACCAACAAAATTCTGACAACCGACTCCACATTTCAAATTATAAAAGCCCCTATCATGCCATCGAAGGCTTATCTGATCTCCCTCCCTTATTTGGACACAACAAAAATCCTATATTGAAAATAGGATTTTAGCCTCTCCTGCTCCCTCTGTCTCTCTATCCCCCTCCCTTCTTTCTCACTTTCATAGTTATCTCTCGATCTCCCGCTCCCTATGTGTCTCCCACTCTCCTAGCTTTGGTTTGTAGCCAAATCAAAACCTCTCTCTCTCTCTCTCTCTCTCGTTCTCCCTTAATCTCTCTCATTCTTCTCCCTCTCAATCAATATCTCGTTCTCCCTCAATCTCTCTCATTCTTCTCCCTCTCAATCAATATCTCATTCTCCCTCAATCTCTCTCATTCTTCTCCTCTCAGTCAATATGTCCTTTTCCTTCAATCTATATCGTTCTCCCCCCAGTCATTCTTCTACTCCCTCTTTCGTTTTTTTTTTTTTAATTTTTCTTACAAACTTATACAATATTAATTAGATAGTATAAAAAAACTAAAGGGACCAACCGCTTGTAAAATCAAGTTATAAATTTCTATCAAGTTGGTACAAATTTCATAGCCAAGAGTTTTTTTTTTTTGTGAATTTTTTTATCAAATTGGTGTAATGATTTTGAACCATACCAAGTTGGTCTCATGTTCTTTTATACAATCTAATTAATACCATAGAAGTGTGTAAGAAAAAAAAAGAACGAGAGAGGGAGTGGGAGAGAATTTGACGGCAAATAATAGAAATTAAGGGATGAGAGATCGATTGAGGAAGAGAATAGAGAGATTGGGGGAGAATGATAGGTAGAGAGAGAATAAGAGAAATTGATAGAGAGAACGTAAATACTGAAACCGAAAACCATTTTATTTATTTTCAAATCACATAGTCATTGAGTAGAGAGAGAGAGAGAGAGAGAGAGAGAAACCCTTTTTTTATTTTCCAATCACCCAGCATTAAAGCGCAATCTCGGTTAAGATTTTGGTGGTCCAACATGGATTAAGAGTCCCATGTTGGCAACAACCACGTAAGCCTCCAATGACATGGTGGGAGGTTTTTAGAATTTGAAATGTAGAGCCGGTTGTTAAAGTTTTGTTGGTTTCAGAACCAACTTGTACCCTAATTTTAAATGTGCAACTACTCTGCCTATATTTTTTCCTAATTTAAAACTAATCCGAAAACAAAGCTATTTTCTTATCTAGATGGTGGGCCAATGATCCAACTTTTCAAAGAAACCCATAATGTTATAATTGAATAATAAATATTTAAAAAATATAGAACACAAAAAATGAAAATGTAAAGAATTTTGTAGAAAACATTTGAGAACATTTCTAATGTTATATATTCGTCGTATTAAATAAAAATAATTGTTAAAATAAAAGTTTTTTTTTTTTTATTTATGATAGAAATGGAATACAAAATTTGCTACAAGCATTTAAGTTTATTTTTAATCATATTATTACTTTTGTTAATTTTCAATTTCTATTTAATTATGATATATCTAAAATTCAAGTAATTAATATGAAGAAATATTTTTCACACGGAACATATGTGCTTAATTACTAGTATAAGAAAATATACCAATGCATGAGAAAGATCTGGGTTTCTTCCTTTGTATTTTCTGTGGAAGCTTGAACAAAGCATGCTAGATCCTTCCCCATAATTGGCACTATTTGACATTGGCCTAGCCATAATTCAGCACATTGACATCCCTTTTTCTGTGAATATGATATGATATACTTGAAGGTTTAGAACATTTTTGAATCTCTTTCTAGGTTTTGGGTGGAAGAACCTTTTGAATCATGGGCTATCAGAAGGCCTACAACTAGAGGAGACCATGGATCAAGATAAAGAGGTGCTTAGCAACTAATATAAAGGGTTTAGCCTAGGCCCAAGCTTGGCTTGGCCAACAACCTAGGCCTAAAATATGGATTTGGGCATGAACCAGGCTTTCAAGTCTACAAGCTTAAATCATATATGAAATATATGTTCTATTTAAGGGAAAATCCTTAAATCTCCCTCGAGGTTTTTAACAAATATGGAATTTGACAAATTTGGATTTGGGACCAATTAGATAAAAAGTTTAGGGATGAAAAATTTACCAGTTTCTACTGGGCACCCGGCCTCCCCGGCCCGATACGGTCAGGTATGAAGACTACTCTGGCAGGGATGGGGACAGGGATGCGGAATAAATG